GAGGATCTGAGTTGGATACAGGATCAAGATTGAGAGAGTTTTGCCAGAACATCCATATATATTGGATGTTGGCCAAACCCCCAAGGAAACTCTGCTTATATCAGATCACAAAATGGAGGATAATTACATAATACTGAAAATCTTGGCCTAGCCAAGTGGACAATAACATCAACCATCACCGGTTCTGATATTTAAAACACAAGAGAATGCTGTCTAAAATACCAAACACAGTTCCTTTACACGGACTCCCTTCTACCATGAGGGTAAGATTATACTCACAATCATTGCTATGTTTAATGCCATCATTGCACCCACTATGTCAGTCCATCTTGTTGAGGGTCTCCCTCTTTCTCATTGACCCTCTACTGTACTAAGCATGGTGTTCTTCTCTGACAATGTGTCCAAGATACATTGCAGAAATAGCAAAACAAGCCTCCCAGTTCACTGAAGGCAATGAAGCTAATACTCTGGGAAAAGGTGGGAATGTCACTTTCAATTTGGAGAGGAAGAAGCCTAAACTATTTGAAAAGCTTTGCAAGATCTCTGCTTTGGTTCTCAAGATCAGCCCATCCAGTGATTCTGCATGTCAGAGCACCATCAGGTAGGATTTAAAAACTAGATAGACTGGGGAGGGCACTATCTAACAAGAAAGCAAAAGTGTTTCTGTGGCATCCACTCAGAACTCAGTGAAATAACACCATTTGGCACTGGTCAACTGATAGGAAGAATCTCCCTCTACTGTTATGGAAATGTTAAAAAGTACAGGAGGCAGGGCCACAAGTCACCCCACCCTAGTGAACAACTAGGCTTAGTTAACAATAGATGCTCTTCTCCTCAAATGCTGTTGACATCCTGGAAGGAAGAGTAACAGAAGTAAGAAATAGAGTTCTCTCCTCTGTTGTCGTTGTTGTTATGTGCCGTTGAGTGGGACCCGTCTCATAGAGACCCCTCCTTGGGTTTCTGAAGCTATGGAAGTAGATTGCCCCATCTTCCTTCCGAGGAATGGCTGGTAGGTTTGAACCGCCAGCCTTCTGGTTAGCAGTCAAATGCCTTAGGCACTATGCTACCAGAGCTCCCAGAATCTAGCCATATTAAAGCTAAGTACTTGGCGGTGCAATGGTGAAACACTTGGCTACTAACTGAAAGGCCAGCAGTTCAAACCCAACAGTGCTTCCACAGGAGAGAAGACTTAGTGATCTGTTCCCATAAGGATTGCAGCCTAGGAAACCCTATGGAGAAGTTTTTGTCTGTCCTATAGGGTTGCAATGAGTCAGCACACAACAGTAACAACACTTGGTCCTCAGCTAAATTCCAAAGGGATTGGTGGTGGGGCTCTTCTCTTCATACAATAGGCCCTTCAGCAAAAATCTTAGCCAAGATAGGGAGGCAGTACTCCAAAAGGAGTAAAGATCTCCGTCATTTTAGCCGTGAAAGAGCTGCATTGAGTAGGGTGGCCATGGTGGATATTGATTTTGGGGATGAAGAAGGTGCTACTGCAGACAAGGTGAGGAGTCAGCCCACTTATTTAGCTAAATCTAAATCACCATGCAAAGATGTCACTTTGAAGACTAAAGTGTGCCTGACCCAAGCCATGGTACTTTCAATCTCCTTATATGCATACAAAAGCCTGACAATGAATAAAGAAGACTGAAGAAAAATTGATGCATTTGAATTGTGGTGTTGATGAAAAATATCATATATCCCATGAACTTCCAAATAAACAAATCTGTGTTGGAAGAAATACAGCCAGAATGCTCCTTTGAAGGGAGGAGGTGAGACTTTGTCTCACATAATTTGGACAAGTTATCAGAAGTGACCAGTCCCAGGAAAGGACATCATGCTTGGAAAAGTATCCTGGAGGACCAAGATAAAGCATGTCTACACAATTTGGCAATGCATATTGTGTTGTGGTTTCCAGAATTCTAGCTCTGGAGTGCCCAGCATCTTGACTGAAAGACCTATTCTTTCCTTTTCATCCTCTGCAAAATAGTTCAAGTTACTTTCTGTGGCAATGCATTCCTTTATGTTGCAGTTTGACATCACCTATGCTGTGAAGAATTAAGGGAAGAGTCTGCCCCACATTTGAGACCTAGAAGTAAAATGAAAGATAGGGTCTTCTGCTCCCTTCACCCTGCCCCACTTCGTCCCATTAACAACAGCTACAGCAGCAAGGCCCTCAGTCATCTGGAGTGAGGTAAGGTCAGAGACAGAGGCAGGATGGCCTGAAATGAGTCTAAGACAGAAGAAAGTGAATCTGCCTTCTTGAGCCCACTTGAGATAGCCTGTGTGGAACTCTCAGAAATGACTGGGGATGAGGAGACAGGGGCCCTAAATTCCTAAAATACAGTAAGTAAGATCTTGAAGTCTTTGAATTTGGACAATAATGTGTTGGGGCAATAATAACATTATAGTAGGCTGATGAGCCCTATACATCCTGATTACATTTTTGGGATCAATGTACAGTATAATACATACTACATTGCATTCACAAACTAATTAGTGCCCCTAGAATTAAGATTAGTTCACACTATGGATAAGGGTGGATACTTGATTTATAAATGAATACCTAGAGGGCTCAATTTGACTGCTAACCAGAAGGCTGGCGGTTCAAACCCACCAGCCACTCCTCGGAAGGAAGGTTGGGCAATCCTACTTCTGTAGTGATACTGCCTCGGAAACCCAAGGAGGGGTCGCTATGAGTCAGGGCCGACTCAACAGCACATAACAACAACAACAGAGGGCTCACTTGGTAAAGCATTTGGCTGCTAACCAGAAGGTTGACAGTTAAACCCACCAACTGCTCTGTGGGAGAAAAATGAGGCAATCTACTTCCCTTAAGATTTACAGCCTTGGAAACCTAAGGGGAGTTGCTGTGAGTTGGGATCCACTCAATGGCTGTGAGTTTAAAGGACTCACTTATTTGGCTTGTCAGTCTGTCTCAAAAGTGAACTTACAGCTTCAAGAAATAAACTATTTGCTGCTTTGTGACAAATTTTTAAGATTCTTATTCATTAAAGATTTAAATAATAATTTTAAGACCTGAGTTCTAGCTTGGGTATCCACTTACATAAATATCATTGCAGCTGAATCTTTATGCTTAAATCTTTTACTCCATTTCTAATTATTTCCTTAGAATTAATTTTTAGAAATGGAATGATTGAGACAAAGGAGGTGAACATTTCTCTGGATACACATTGCCATATGGCTTTGGCTATACCCATTTGCGTATCCCTAGCGTATATGGAAGCATACAGTCCTGTTCATTATCATTTTAAAATCTCTGTTAGCTTGATGGCTTAAACTTAGATCTCATTGTTCATTTAGTCTGCCTATTTTTTAATGATTGATTTAGGTTAAAATTGTTTTTCCTAGACATTTTTTGTTCCTGCTTTGTGAAATATCTGTTCACAAAGAAATTATTTATATAAGTTGTCTGTTTCGTACTAATTTATATATCATTTTCATATATTAAAACCATTAACTTTTTATCTCATATTTGTTGCAAATATTTTCTCTTTAGTTGAAGATGTTGTTGAATTGCATGCCTGCCTTTGGCTTTAATTTCTTCCCAAGATGCTGCTTTGGGGTCCTGACCCTTAGTTCCAAATGCCATAACCCATGGCCAAATAATTGACACTACAATTGGGCCTACGTCTCCCCCCAACCCGCCCTTACTCTCACATCATCTGTGATCCTTGATTATCTAAAAAGGGAAATAAACACTTTACTCCTCATTGTTTTCTTTACCTGTTTTTTTTGTTTAAATGTATATTATTTTTTCTTTTTTTAACTTTTACTGTGATCTGGGTGAAAGTTTACAGAGTAAATTCATTTTCCATACAGAATTTCATACACATTGTTTCATAACATTGATTGCAATTCCCCACAATGTAACAGCTCTTTTCCCATTTCTTCCCCATAGTTACCTCTTCCCTGCGTCCTTCCCTCCTATCCACTCCTATCCCCCACCTCCCAGCTATCTCCCTGTGCAAACACTGACCTTTGGTTCTCCCAACATTGATCCCCCCAAGGAGTGTATAAGCCTGTCTACTAATGTATATCTTAAGGATAATGGGAAAACTGTTTACTGTAGTTACGTCTTTCCTCTAAGTAAGTCTTTGTTCTGATTGAAAAACTCATGCATATATCTCTTCTAGCCCAGAAGCTTATTTTTTAAAGTTTTGTGCCACATTTTCAAATGTATTTAAAGTCACATAAAATTTGACATAAATAATTTACTCTAAATAGCTAGCATTTGTTTGGTTGGGTTTTTGTTTTTTTTTTTTTTGCTTTTTTTAATTGTGATTTGGGTGAAAATTTACATAGCAAATAGCATTTGTTTTTTATACTACATGTCTGATATGCATTTATGTTCTTTTCTACTGCTAGCAAAAGAACAAGCTGACCTTGAAAGTTAAATCTCAAGGAGGATGAGACATGTTGCTTCATCTTCCAGCTATGATCAATCACTTCTCTTCTGTTTCTATAATCCACCTTAGAATATCAATCACATTATTTCACCTTGTTGTTGTTGTTTTGTTGTTACGTGCCATCGAGTCGGACCCGACTCATAGCGACCCCTCCTTGGGTTGCCGAGGCAGTATCACTACGGAAGTAGATTGCCCAAACTTCCTTCCGAGGAGTGGCTGGTGGGTTTGAACCGCCAGTCTTCTGGTTGGCAGTCAAGTGCCTCAGGCACTATGCTACCAGAGCTCCTTATTTCACTTTAACACCTTGTAAATAACAAAGGAATTCTTCCCAGACATTAAAGAGAGTATCAACTCATTTTTCAGGAGAGGGAGTAGCCTGGGGTAGGGGGTAGAAAGAGTACACAGAGGACACAAAACAAAAGGATGGCTACATTAACAAACTGACAAAGGTCCAATCTGAAGCTTGGAGAGGTGAGGGCCAAAAGATCTCAGAGGAAGAAAGATAAGGGCTAAAATGGCGGAAAGTCCTAGAACAGTGGGGCCTGCAGCATTTAATTTATTGGCACTCACAGGGAGGCTTGGGTGTGTGGCTCCAGCACAGCTCATGGTTGCATGAGGTCCATAGTCCTGCGTAGAACTCAAGGCCATTCTTGATCACCAGGTACTGCACCCAGTTCAGTGGGCACATGCAGATTAGGATTAGGAAGCCAAAACCACAGAGGCTGCCACAAAACATTCGGATATAGGTGTGTGTCTGATCCACATGCTGCTGCCTCCTCTGGAGTGGCATTGAGGCACTCAGATGTTTGCTGGTGGGGAGGGTAGGCTACAAGGACAAGGGAAATATTGCCTACCCAAAAAAGATAACCCCCTGATCCCAGGGTCTTCTATTCTTCTCTATCTCGTTTCCCCGTATGGGTTGATTTATAGGTATCTTTCCCTATCCTTTTCATGCAAAACAAAATTTTCAGGGTAATCTTTTCCATCTGTCTTTAGGAGACTATCTAGCCCTGTCTTCAAGTAAATCCTCTTCCTCTCATCTGACTTACAAGTAGGTACCACCTCACCCTTTGGTAGTTCCGCTTCCCCTTGATTTTGGGAACCTCAGGATTGTAGAATGTCAAGATTACATGTTCCCTCCTCTCCATCTTGGTAGCTAGCTCACTTTCTAACTGTCACGGAATTTGTGTCAGCACCTCCTCACTCATGATGGCAGAACCAAAAGGAGTCAGAGAACCCATGACATGGCACAGATGAGTTTCTGTTTCTTATTCTAGATCTAGTGAGATCAGGAAGAAATGATCACATTTTCAACATGTGCATGTATGTTTGATTTTCCCCTCCCACCCTTCTCTGACTCCTGCCAACTCTTTTATCAAATAGATCCAAAAATATTTTGTCAGCAGTTGCTGTGTGTCAGGCCTGTGTTAGGTCTTGGAACTAAAGATGAATAAGACACTGTTACCTCATAGCAGACACAAAAGTGTAACTCAGATATCTTTAGGGCTCAATAGCTTGTGGTTATAATTGAAGCCATATATGTTTCAGTAGCCCAGAGTCATGCTCTTGCCCCAACTCTAAGTGGAAGGGCACCAGGGTGTCTCAATAAGCTCATGAACCAGTCTGTCAGACAGAGTCCTTCATGTCACATGTACTCTTTCCTTCCTTTCTTGCTCTGGTTCCCTTTTTTCAACACCCTCTACTCATGAAGCCATTTTATGGTACAATACCACTGCCACTGCCACTGCTCTTAGGGTCCACTGTGAATATCCCAGCATCCAAAGCCCAGGGAACTACAAGTCAATGCGCTGAAAACTACTACTCTCCAAGATACTGTAGTAGCTAGCGCTGGGTTCTATGTGGAGGTGAGGAGAGTGGCCTCTCCCTGGCTTCATAGCAGGACAATCTGTGCCCAAAGTATCTCAAAGTCTCCTTTTCAAATTGCTCTCTCAGCTTCTGGTCCTAACTCTTCTCACAAGGGCTCAAAACCAATCCAAAGATGCTGGACAGATGACACCTAGCTCCATAGCATGAATACTGATTCTAATAAATGCCCAGCTAAATTATGAGCTTTTTTCCCCGCAAAAAACAGATACACTTTTTTAAAATTTATTTTTAAGATTTTTATTGTGATTTGGGTGTTAGTTCACAGAGCAAAGTGGTTTTCCGTATAGCAGTTTATACACGTTTTGTTTCATGACATTGACCACAATGTAACAGCTCTCTTTCCACTTCCTCCCTATAGTTACCTCTTCCCTGTGTCCTTCCCTCTCATGGACTCCTGCCCCACAGCTATGTCCCTGTGCAGACACTGCCCTTTTGCTCTCCCACAACTGATTGCTCGCAGGAGTTTATTGACCTGTTGTAAATGTTCACCCCATATGCCTGTCTATTGTTTGGCTGGAAGCCACAGGAGTGAGTTTAGTTCCAGATCTGAAGCGGTAGCTAGGGACCATAGTCTCAGGGCTCTCATCAGGCTCTGTCAGACCAGTAAACTTGGCCTTTTTTTTTTTTTTTTTGTGATTTTGAGTTGTGTTTCACATTGTTCTCTCAATCTATCCAGGATCTCCTGCACCAATCCCCCTCCAAGTGGTTGACAGTGGTAGCTGGGCACCATCAAATTGTTCTGGTTTCATGGTCATCATGGGCTGAGGATCACATGGTCTACTACTCCTTTGGACTAATTGTTTCTGAGTCTTTGGTTTTCTTCATCCTTCTTTGCTCTGGACGAGGAAAAACCCATCGTTGCTTCTAGATGGCTTCTTGCAAGCTTTTAAGATCCCAGTCACTATTCACCAAAGTAGGATGTAGAATATTTGTTTTTGTGTACTATGTTATGCCAATGGAGCTTGAAAAACAGATATACTTCAATTCTAAAGTTTGGGCTGAACCAGTGTACCTTATCATACTTTTCTTCCAGCACACCCTCTCTCCACCCACCCTGACCTGTTGAAACTCATTCTTGATTTCGGCTGGTGGGAACTAATAAAAGATCTAGTATATATCCACACTTTAGCATGCTCTTCTTCTGGCAAAGTGTGTATCCCAGTGCCTGACAAGAAGAATGAAGGAATGAGCGAGCCATAAATTTTTACACAAATACAGAGGTTGATACAGAATGGTTAACACTGTCAGAGGAAAATTAGTAAAAGTTTATGAGAAGACATAGGGTAAATTTTGCCAGCTAATCCAGGTGGGGAAGGTCTTTTGAGGCAAAAACAATAGTGTGCTCCAAGGCAGGAAACCATGAACAGCATGAGGTTTTCAGGGCACCAGAAGTAGTGTGGTTCTCCTAAGTGTAAAATAAAAGGTAAGGGTTGGGGTTTGGAGATATAAAAAAGGGCTAGATCACAAAGAGTATTTTATGCCATGCTATCCAATTACACTATGGAGTTTCAATTGCTGGATTATCTAGCCCTCCTGGCATGATTACAGGAAAGACTTTCCCATCTGCAACAAACTGGCTTGGACAGCATGGTTGTTAGATACACACGCATGGCTGGAGGATTAGATGTAGACTTCAAGTAGGCAGGCCTAGTTTCAACGTTGGTTCCTGAACTTATTGGCTAGATTCCTTTGGCAAATTTCCTTAGCCTTACTGAACATCAATTTTCTCATCTCGAAAACTTTTCTTGCCTGGAGAAAGATAATAATAACTTCTACTTCATAGAATTATTGTGAAGATTAAATGAAATAATACACACAAAACTTCTAGCCCAGTGCCTTAATAAGTGCTCAGTAAATAATAGCTAATATTGACATATATTGATATTTTTGTATCAGTACTATCTATATTGAGCATTAGTAAGTGCTCACTAAATACTATCTATTTTTATTTTTTAAACTCTCTCTCCAAGACTTCTTGACCATGGCCTTGGCACTCCTCACTCTGACACTGATGAAATACTAATGTATATGGAAAGGATGAGCTGCTGGCAGTAAATAAGCACATCACCAAAGAGGGGACATTGATGTAATATGGGAAAACAAATAATTTTGTGAACAATATCTGACTTGATAAATGATGCAACCCTTTAGCCATTAAAGGAACAGGTCAGGCACTATTCAACTCTCTTGCATCTTCAAGGCCATACCTAGGATAAAAGGTAAGAAACTCACTCGTCAAAGTCTGTGATGCATATGACAAAACAAACATTCATTCATTCATTCATTCCAGCAAGTTTTTGGACCCAAAAAAGCAGGGAGAGCTGGCTGGTGTGAAGTACAGGTAATCATGTGGACTCTTGTGCTTATAACTGTTATCTGTTGACCTAGGACCAGGTGGTTTTTTAACAATGCTGCCATGTTCTTGGCTTATGACCTTAGTCAAATATTTTCTATTAAAAGATTTATTTGGGTACTTACTGCATGCAAAGAACTGTACTATGTAAAGCAAGGAACAAATTTATTCATTTAACAAATATTTACTGAGCACCCAGTATGTACACTTGGCACTATGCTAGGAATTGGAAGTACCACTACAAGTATGATCCATTCTTAGGCTTGAGAAGCACTTCACTTCTGTGGCCCTCACTTCCCTGATTTTAAATGAGAGAAGTGAACTAGATGTTTTCTAATATCACATCTAACTCTAAACTTTTATGATTCTCAGTATTTTTTCCCCCCATATCTCCATAAAGGATACAGGGTTGTATCCTTTCCCCATACTTATTCAATCTATATGCTGAGCAAATAATCCGAGAAGCTGGACTATATGAAGAAAAACGTGGCATCAGGGTTGGAGGAAGAATCATTAACAGCCTGAGATACGCAGACGATACAACTTTGCTTGCTGAAAGTGAGGATGACTTGAGGCACTTACTGATGAAGGTTGAAGAATACAGTCTGCAGTATGTGTTACATCTCAATATAAAGAAAACAAAAATCCTCACAATGGGACCAATGAGCAGCATCACAATAAATGGAGAGAAGATTGAGGTTGTCAAAGAATTCACATTGCTTGGTTCTACAATCGATGCCAATGGAAGCAGCAGTCAGGACATTAGACGATGTGTAGCATTGGGAAAGTCAACCGCAAAGGAACTATTTCAAGTGCTGAGGAGCAAGGATGTCTCCTTGAGGACTAAGGTGCGCCTGACACAAGCCATGATATTTCCAATCGCCTCATATGCATGTGAGAGCTGGACAATGAATAAGGAAGACCGAAGAAGAGTTGATGCTTTTGAGTTGTGGTGCTGGCAAAGAATGCTGAAAATACCATGGACTGTTAAAAGAACTAACAGATCTGTCCTGGAGGAAGTACACCTGAAATGCTCCTTGGAAGCAAGAATGGCCAGACTTCATCTCATGTATTTTGGTCTTGTTGTCAGAAGGGACCATTCCCTGGAGAAGGATATCATGCTTGGTAGGGTGGAGGGTCGGCGAAAGAGGGGGAGGCCTTCAACGAGACCGAGTTACACGGTGGCTGCAATGATGGGCTCAGGTATAGCAGGGATTGTGGGGCTGGCACGGGATCGGGCAGTGTTTCGTTCTGCTGTGCATGGGGTCGCTATGAGTCGGAAACGACTGGACGGCACCTAACAACAACAGCACATCTCTGTACTTTGTATTTGGGGAGGATAAGGAAGGAAGAGAGTTGTTTTGTGGCTGTTTTAACTCAAGCAGAAGTTTATAATAGAAGATTAAATAACATTTTCAAATACACATTGCAAACCATATATACTGATTTGAGTTCAGTGGAGTAATTCTTCTTGCTTCTCCCTAAATCTTCGTTAGAGCTTAATTCATTCTCTATGGAATTTTCTGCATGGTTGATCTTTATTCAGGATAACAAGGCCAGAAGCAGAATCATCAAGCCAATGAATTCTGACTAACTTCCTAGTGTGGCTACAACTCTGCCAGGATCCTAAAGGAAAGACACACAGAGGATACATCAGGCCAAGAAACACCAGAGCTGGGATCTTAACCCCAAATCTGTAACGAATATTCTACAATGGTGAGATAGACATCACCCTGGAGTCACAGGGATTCTTTTTGCCTAGGCTACATCCTGCTACAGAGTTCCTGGGTGGTGCAAAATGTTAATGCCCTCAGCTTCTAACCAAAACGTTGGAGGTTCAAGTCTACCCAGAAGTACCTTTGAAGAAAGGCCAATCAATCTACTGCCAAAAAATCAGTCATTGAAAAC